CAAGATGGATTCATGGTAAGTGAATTCCATCCAATTCCAGATTATAGTTTCTGTTTTGGAAAGGTTTATCTTGAGTCCTATTTCTTAGAACACTTGATAGAGGATGTTTTCATTTTGATGATGGATTCAGGGTAGGTGCCATCATTGCTTTCATTCCAATTCCAGATCATAGTTTCTGTTTAGAAAGGTTAATCTTGAGTCCTATTTCTTGCAATATTCGACGTTGATTTTTCATTCAAGATCATTCTTATCCTGACTGAATACCGATGTCATCAGAATAATCCCCCGATCTTATCATCAGTCCATGGGCCTTGGGAGGCAATAAACAATTTGCAGTCTTGTATGAAACTACCTCGAGCGCGGCTTTGTTTTTGACACCGAGGTTCACACTGTACAAGCCCGGGGGGGTGGGCAACACAAAGTAGAGGATTACGGAGAAAGAGGCACAGTTTATGTGGATAGGTGAAGAAGTTTATCAGGTTAAGATTGGATTAATCGAGGAAATATCCTCTTATGAATCGGTTCTATAGAGCACTGGTTCGCTGCAAGAAGCTGCTCTGTGGAATAAGTAAGGAATGAGGATGGTTTGATGCAATGTAAATGGCATGACAAGCCCTTGTCGTAAATGTTAGAACTGGTGGAATCAAGGAATGTAATTCTTCCGAGCACTTTCAGTAGCGATAGTGTAGTGAGCGGCTTAACCCGTCCCTTCTTTGAGGGTTGAAGGGTAGGAAATAATTAATCACCTACAAGGATGCAGAAATTCTTTTGGACTCTATCGACACTGGAAACTGAGGACTGGGTTGCACCTTAGCAAATATGACAACAATATTCTATTTTAGGCCTGGTCTAGATTTTGTAAAAGTAGAGGATAGCAAGAGGAGTCAGGTACTTACTGGAGCGGTACAGAGAACTAAACATTTTCCCAGCATCTTTAGGGGGGGATCATAGATACGATTTCCGCTTGATGTCTGTGGTTAATTTAAGGCTCAATAGGCATAGTCTCTCAAAGCACGAGGCCTCCCCGAGGGGACAAGCATTCATCGTGACTGGTGGTAGTTCGGGGTCCTATTGGTCATGATGGATTGTAACTAGTTTGCTTTTCATGTTCATGCTTGGTTTGCTTTATTTTGTTTTACGGTATATCAACATCAATGGGTTATTTAATGTCGACAAGATTTTTATTGCTGGTAAATCTTTTTTTTCAAAAATGTATTGCTCGTAATATTTTTTTCCCAAAAAATGTATTCCTGGTATTAATTTTTTGCTGGTAATAATTTTTTCTTTAAAAATTCATTGCTGGCAATAATTTTTACACGGATTTTATACTTTCATAGTGTTTTGACCCCTTTTGGGGGTTTAAGTATTTGCCCATAGCTGTGACTCTAGCTACTACCCTGGTTTAGGGTGGGCCTGGGAATACCAGCAATTAAGAGGTGGTTCCACGCTCCTCAAAACCTTCTGATCAAAGACCTTGCTGTCGGATGTAGTTTATCGTCTTACCTAGGACGCTGTTCAGCTTCCTTTTCTCCTATGCTAAATTGGTTATAAGGGTTTTCAAAATAATCGATATTGAGCAACGCTTGTTTATAGAGTAATTTCAAAGTTTTAAAAACTGATCGGGTTTCGACTGAAATTGTCGTTTTATACATACGATGAATTTATTGTCAAAATTCAGAATGTAGAATTAATAAATCCTAATCACTTCAAGTACCTCCCTCGGTGTTTTGACCATTTTCAGTAAATTTAGTATAACGGATAAGGAAATTGCATACAGATTACGCTGCGCTCTGCTGGGGGTAAATCTGTTCCAAATTGCAGGGTGCTACAAAAGCAAACCATTAACCTAAAATCTCGTGTACTTAAATAACCTCGTCAGATCTCGACTCTCATATGGGTGTCAGGCACTTGTTTAGAAATATATAAACTCTCAGCTTTATACAAACGTTTTCTCGGATCAATGATTAAAAATGCATTCAAGCAAATGAATCTTAACGAAGACAATCCTTTATTGATAGTTTGATTGGTCGATTCGTTTTTTACGGCTTATCAACCCATTGCAGATTATTTAAAGCCAGAAAATATTTTCATATTGAAAGAATATTTTCGGAGATAATAATAATTTAGCGATACAAGTCTTACAATTTAACCCATACCTGGGGAGAGAAGAGCACCTTAAAAACATTACAGCATTTAAGTGGATAATGGGGGCACTCGGTGCCAAATAAGGCACTGACATGCAATGGTGAGCTAATCTGTATTTGGTAGATGATTTTACTGATAACCGAAGAAAAGTATTTCATTGTAAGTGTCCCAAAATCTGTTTCATACAATTAAATTATTTTTTGATTGGTTCATTTATACTGCTTATCAAACCATTGAAGGTTATTCAAAACCAGAAAATATTTTTAGATTGTGAGAATTTTTGGCGGGGTGGGGGGAAGTAATAATTTAATGATACAAGTCTTACTAATTAACCCATAGCTGGGGAGAGAAGAGGTAGATTCATACCTAATCAGAATTTGATAAACAAGAAATTATAATGTGGATATGAAGTGGGGGATCAATTCTATATTACTTTCAATATATAAACTGCTCCCTCACTTTGTGACCATGGTAGTTTCTATACATTTATATCCCAGAGAATGTAAATAAATCTAAAAAGTATGCCTGTGTAGCTAATCAGTATTTCATTGATTGATTGATTCATTTTGTACAGCTTATCACCCCTTTGCAGTTTATTTAAAACCAGAAAATATTCTTAGATTGTAAGAAGTTTTATTTTTTGGAGATAATAATTCAGTGATAAAAATCCGATATCTGGGAAGAGAAGAGGCAGGTTCAAACCCTTCTCAAGGCTATTTGCTTGTAAGTGAATAAAACGAATCCAAATGGAATTGGAACTTGGCTCTTCGATTAGCAATTCCAAGCCATTGTAAAATTACATCATTTGCACATCTAAGCTTACAGCACCTGGTATTCCCAAGAAGTCACCCATATAGGAATTGACCAGGCTGAACATAGCTTAACTTCGGTAATCATAAACCAGTGTTTAAATATGATTAAGTCATACATTTAAAATTAGTTTGGTTTTGATGCAAGCTGCTTCTGGGAAATTGGTTAAGAGATTAATATTACATTGATTAACTGTTGCTTGTAAAATTAAAAAAAAATTTTTGAGATAATAATAATTTAGTGACATAAGTCTTACTAATTAACCTATAGCTGGGGAGAGAAGAAGTAGATTCATAGCTAATCAGAATTTGATAAACAAGAACTTAAATATGGACGTAAAGTGGGGGATCAATTATATATTACTTTCAATATATAAACTGCTCCCTCACTTTGTGACCGTGATAGAGTCTATACATTTATATCCCAGAGAATGTAAATAAATCTAAAAAACAAGCCTGTGCAGCTAATCAGTATTTCATTCATTTTCTACAGATTATCAACATTTTTCAGGTTATTTAAGGCCAGAAAATATTCTTAGATTATAAGAAGTTTTATTTTTTGGAGATAATAATTCAGTGATAAAAATCCAATATCTGGGAAGAGAAGGCAGGTTCAAACCTTTCTCAAGGCTATTTGCTTGTAAGTGAATAAAACGAATCCAAATGGAATTGGAACTTGGCTCTTCGATTAACAATTCCAAGCCATTGTAAAATTACATCATTTGCACATCTAAGCTTACAGCACCTGGTATTCCCAAGAAGTCACCCATAGAGTCATTGTCCAGGGTCAACATAGCTTAACTTTGGTAATCATATGGGAACCAGTGTTTAAATATGATTAAGTCATACATTTAAACTTAGCTTGGCTTTGATGAAAGCTACTTTTGGGAAATTAGTTAAAATATCAATAATATTAGTTGATTACTTGTAACATTTAAAAAAAAAGTCTTTTCTATAATGAGACATCGTACAGATTGTGTTTTTGATGTAATGGAATAAGCAGTCACCCCCATGAATGATGACACTATAGGTAGTAAGTACCTATAAAGTCAACTGTCTACGAGAGACTCGAGGAAGAGTGAGAGCAAGACGACGCAAGCACGTCCAACCTTCCAATTAGTTGCATTCACTACTAGATTGACTTGTGTGTATAACTGTACCGTATTTCATATTGTACTGGTTGTGTACAATAAACCTTTCTGCTATTATTCACCTGGTGTTAAGCATTTATTCTCTTAGCACGGAATATAACAGTTTTATAAAAGCTTCTTGTAGGGAATCAATTAAAACATGTAAGCAACAATGAGGCTTTAGCGAAAAAGGAAACAAAATGACTATTGTAGTTTCTATTCATTTCTATTCCAGAGAATGTAAATAAATCTGAAAAACATGGCTGTGTAGCTAATCAGTATTTCATTGATTGATTGATTCGTTTTCTATAGCTTATCAACCTTTTTCAGGTTTTTTAAGATCAGAAAATATTCTTAGATTGTAAGAAGTTTTATTTTTTGGAGATAATAATTCAGTAATAAACAAAAACCGATATCTGGGAAGAGAAGAGGCAGGTTCAAACCTTTCTCAAGGCTATTTGCTTGTAAGTGAATAAAACAAAGCAATTGTAGATTAGTTAAAGCCAGAAAATATTGAAAGCATTTTTTCGGATATAATAAAAATTTACAAGTGTTACTAATAATACTAATAATACTATTGCTGGAAGAAGAAGAGATGTTTTACAATGAGGTTCTGCCTGTGCAAGACCCGGGGCCACTCTTGGTAGGGGTTTACGTTAAGGGGTGGTTTATATGTATAAGAAGGGAATATAACGGTTAACTCTAGAATCGAACAGGTCAAGATTGTAATGATCGGGTAACCATCTCCTTGGTAGTCTATTCCATAGAGCAGTGGTTCGCAGGAAGAAGCTATTCAAGTGGAACTTCTGGATTCATGCATAAGTGAATATAACGAACTCAACTGGAATTGGAACTCCGCTTTCCGATCAACAATTCTTAGCCATTACCCATTACTCCACCAGCACATCCAAGTTCACAGCACCTCGTAACCTTAAGTAGTCACCCATCAAGGTACTGACCAAGCTCGACGTTGCTTAACTTTGGCGATCGTATGGTAACCGATGTTTCCACGTGGATATGGCTGTAATCCTCAAAACATTATTAAGGCGAGTAAACGATAGAAAGCCAGTAATTAAGAAGACAGTACAAGATCGACATTGCATTTACATTACACTACTCGCGCATCTAAGCTTACAGCACCTGGTATTCTCAAGAGGTCAACCATGCTACTACTGACCAGGCTCGAGGGTATCCTGGTTAAGAAGATAAACTACATCCGCGTCCTGGTTAAGACGATAAACTACGTCCAGGAGCAAGGCTTCTGATCAGGAGGTTTTGAGGAGCGTGGAACCACCTCTTAATTGCTGGTGTTCCCAGGTCCACCCTGATCCGAGGTGGCAGCACCTGTTAGGGTCCCAATTATGGGCAAATAGTTAACCCCCAAACTGGGGTCAAAATAGGTTTTAATATCTGCAATAAATTTTATGAGGAAAAATTATTACCAGCGATACATTATTACTAGCAATACAATTTTGACGAAAAAAATATTACCAGCAATAAATTTTTGAAAAACATATTACCAGCAATAAATTTTTGAAAAAAATATTACCAGCAATAAATTTTTGAAAAAAAAAAAAATACCAGCAATACATTTTCCGAAAAAATCGATCAATTAAAATCTTGTTGGCATTAAATGACCCATTGTGGTGTCGATATGCCGTAAAATAAAACAAACCAGACCAGGCTCGAAGTTGCATTTATCCCTTTTGTGACCGTACAAAAATCGGTGTTGGAACGTGATATGACCGCAAGCCTATCCTTTATTGGATCTTGATGATTGGCGCTACAGATTCACACAAAAAAAAGAACTTTTCCAAATAACAGAAACCACATCACTTGAGGATTTTTGACAGCAACAATGGCTAAAAGGACGAAGAGACGTTTCAAAGTCTGTGTTACATGACAACACTGTATATCTTAATAACTATTGAGGCTATCAAAACACAGTTTATATTCCCTGAAAGCTAATATTTCCACGTTTCTATATAGGTTTTTACAGGTCTTCAATATGAGCGTCGCGGGTTACGCAACACATATCCAATCAATTATCCAATTCTGGCTAAACGCGATCAAGCATAGCGCTGTCAGTGGTTGCCAAGGTTTCAGTTATTCGCGTCTATGGAAAGGAGAGGTACGTATACGAAGGCTTTGACATACGCCCAGAGGAAGAAATCACATGGCATCAGGTCTGAAGACCTAGGTGGTCATCGCAGGAACACGTACCATATTTTCCGGCTTACAAGACACACTTTTTTTCCTAAAAAGTACTCTGAAAAATATGTGTGCGTCTTCCAAGACGAATGTAAGGCAACACCCAGGCTCAAGAATGGACGGTCACCTTATTGGCTTGACTGATAGGGACGTGGATTTGCATGTTGAATCATTACACTATAATGTTAGCTGTCTATCTAATTCAGCCTTTTATATGATGTAACCTCATTACTTGGCTGTTACAAGTATTTCCAAGAGTATATACCTTCCTGGAGCCGAGCCACAAACTTAAACATGCTCTGTTTACTAGCAGTGGCGGGAGCCTTTCTGCTCTTGACTAGTATGTCATTGTCATACAAACAAAATCAGACGAGTGATTAATGTAAACGATACGTGGTACCTGTATGTGAGGGACGAGTAGTGAATGTGTTGTTGTATGAAAATGACTATTTTTCTTAGAAATTTCTTTCCAAAATTAGAGTGCTTCTTCCAAGCCGCAGCGTCTTGTAAGCCAAAAAATACGGAATGTCCGATCCATCTGTCAGGCAGAGTGATGTTCAGATATTGTCAGATAATTGATAAAATTAAAATTAAATAAACAGAAGAAAACTTGACACTTTTAACTTTTAAATGGTACCAGTTCAATGAAGCTACTATTTGTAGTTCCTATACATAGACTTTGAAACTCCCTGTAGTTGAAACAAAAGTTTAGGAAATCAGTACTGGAAAGAGCGATAACAGTTAGTGGGTTTGAGAAACCTATTTTCCTGAGTAACATCCTTAAAAGAAAGATTTTATAAATTTCAAGCATTACTATTTAAAAGCAAGAATAATATAATTTCAATAGTTATAATTCTAACCGTCCTGGGTATGACGATAAACTACATCCGCGTCCAGGGTAAAACGATAAACTACGTCCAACAGCAAGGCATCTGATCAGGAGGCTTTGAGGAGCGTGGAACCACCTCTTAATTGCTCGCAGGTCCACCCTGACCCGGGATGGTAGCACCTGTTAGGGTCCCAGCTATGGGCAAATAGTTAACCCCGAAACTGAGGTAAGAAGCATTATAAAAGTGTAAAAGTAGGTTTTAATACCAGAAATACTTTTAAAAAATTATTACCAGAAATAAATTTTTGAAGAAAAAAAAAATTACCAGCAATACGTTTCTGAAAAAATAATATTACCAGCTATACATTTTTGAGGAAAAAAATATTAACAGAAATAGATTTTTGACAAAACAAAAATATTACCAAAAAAAAAAAGAGTTGTCGGCATTAAATGACCCATTGAGTTTGATATGCCGTAAATCAAACCAAACTTATGATTTTAAAATCTCCTCGGTTATTTATTATTAATTCGGCACATTTCCTCTTCATCTTTTTCTTCCCTCCGTGAAAAGATTGCCCAGCATTCACGGTGATATAGGAGGACTGATATTTCTTACGAATTCATAAAGATCTATACTTCAGTCAGTCAGTTATGTGCCATGCGTGATACACGCTTAGGCGATCATGTATCTTTCGATATATGACTGACGAGGAAGATTTTTTCCCGCAGTAAGTTGCCATTTCTTTCTGCAATTGACCAGTTGACATCCAAGGCTATAGAACCCGGTCTTCCCTGCTATTTACTCATAGCTGGGCGGGGGAGAAGAAAAGGATTCATACCTTTCCCAAGAAGTGAATGTAATGGATTCGACTGGAATTTGAACATGATGAACATAATGTTCAACTGAATATATAATATATATTATATGAATATAATAAAAGTTGACTATTATTTATATTCCATTTATTTTGCCAATAATAATTCAATATTAAAACGTATAAAAAGTAACAAAAAAATAAACAGTTTATTAACAGAAAAACAAAAATTATATAACCTTAATCTTTGCAAATAGTTCCTTAGCATGGACTGGTCACTGGCCGAATGCAGATCAATGATGGTTCGCTTATCAGTACAAGTGCGCAGACCACCATTTTGAGAAGCACAGCTCTAAAAGGACTTCATTGGATTAAGATAAGAAGGAAATTCCATTCAAACAGCTTCTTTCAAAGAACTCCTACTATACGGAATAGATTCACCATGCCACGTACACAGGGTCAAATCATCGTCATTTTCTTCGCTATTCGTAAGAAGGAAGAGCATGGTTGTGAAATAGACTCCCAAGAGGGTGCTTCCCCCATTATAAAAATCTTAACCTTTTTAGGTTTGAAGTCAACCGTTATCTTTCCTACATGTCCTTATGATTTGCTCTTCTTATTTTCTTATTTAGTAACCCTTTCCTTGAGTGGCTCTTGGACCTTGAATTGGTTGAACAATAGCGAAATACCAGTCTAGCACCTGTCCCAAGAAGGTATAGGGATTCACAGATGATAAAGAAAAAGGAATCTGTGGAGAGTCATGATCATCTATGCTCTGAAGGAATATGGACTTAAAAATAATCTAACAAAAAAAAGCAATGATAAAGATAATGCTAAGAGGCTCCTCACTTTTTCTCTTCTAGTAATCTATCAATATCTCATTTTTATCCTCCGCTCGTGCGCTCTCTCTCTCTAGTTTTCTCTTTCTCTCTCTTTGATTTTTTAATTCACCCTCTTTCTCTAATTTAAATTCATTTCTCTCTGTTTTCTTCAAATTCTTGCTTAACGTCTTTTTTCACTCTAACTTTTTTTACTTTCTCTCATTCTGACTTTTACTCAATAAAGCTTTCTTTTTTTCTTTCTTTCTTTCTTTCTTTCTTTCTTTCTTTCTTTCTTTCTTTTCGATGCCTTTTTCTTTCTTTCTTTCTTTCTTTCTTCATTTCTTTTCCGATGCCTTTTTCTTTCTTTCTTTCTTTCTTTCTTTCTTTCTTTCTTTCTTTCTTTTCCACTGCCTTTTTCTTTCTTTCTTTCTTTCTTTCTTTCTTTCTTTCTTTCTTTCTTTCTTTCTTTCTTTTTCCGATGCCTTTTCTTTCTTTTTCTTTTCTTTCTTTTCTTTCTTTCTTTTCCGATGCCTTTTTCTTTCTTTCTTTCTTTCTTTCTTTCTTTCTTTCTTTCTTTCTTTCTTTCTTTCTTTCTTTTCCGATGCCTTTTTCTTTCTTTCTTTCTTTCTTTCTTTTTTCTTCATTTCTTTTCCGATGCCTTTTCTTTTATTTTTTCTTTTCTTTTTTCTTTCTTTCTTTTTTTTTTCTTTTTTTCTTTCTTTTCTTTCTTTCTTTTCTTTCTTTCTTTCTTTCTTTCTTTCTTTCTTTCTTTTCCGATGCCTTTTCTTTCTTTTCTTTCTTTCTTTCTTTCTTTCTTTCTTTCTTTCTTTTGCCTTTTACTTTTCTTTCTTTCTTTCTTTCTTTCTTTCTTTCTTTCTTTCTTTCTTTCTTTCTTTTCCCTGCCTTTTTCTTTCTTTCTTTCTTTCTTTCTTTCTTTCTTTCTTTCTTTCTTTTCTTTCTTTCTTTCTTTCTTTCTTTTTCCCTGCCTTTTTTTCTTTCTTTCTTTCTTTTCTTTCTTTCTTTCTTTCTTTCTTTCTTTCTTTCTTTTTTCCGATGCCTTTTACTTTCTTTCTTTCTTTCTTTCTTTCTTTCTTTCTTTCTTTCTTTCTTTCTTTCTTTTCCACTGCCTTTTTTCTTTCGCGATTCCATCTTTCTTTCCTTCTTAGCACATTCTTCTCATACTCTTTTTCTTCCTTCTGATAATTTATCCATGTCTTCTTGCTTGGGCTCCTTTTTACTCCCCCCCTCTCTTTTTCTCATTGATTTTTAATTCACCCTCTTTCTCTAATTTGAATTTATCTCTCTCTGTTTTCTTCAAATTCTTGTTTAACATCTTTTTCACTATCATTTTTTTACTCTCTCTCTCTCTCCGTCTTTCACCCAATAAAGCTTTCTTTCTTTCTTTCTTTCTTAGCTCTTCCTTCTTATACTCTTTCTCTCCCTTCTATCCACGTCTTCTTGTTTTGGCTCCTTTTTCTCTCTCCCTCTCTCTTATTTTTAATACACCCTCTCTCTCATTTGAATGCATTTCTCTTTGTCTTCCTCAAGCACTTACTTTGCCTCTCTTTTCACGCTCTCTAAATCGTTTCACTCTCTCTCTATCTCTCTCTCTCTCTATCTCTATCTCTCTTCCTCTGTCATTCAATCTTCTATAAAGCTTTCTTCCTTTCTTCTTACACTCTTTTTCCTTTGCTCTCTCTCTCTAATTTTTCTCGCACTGTTTCCAATTTTACTTTTCTTTCTGTCTTCCTGACACTATTTATCAATGTTTTCCTCTTATATTTCTATTTTCTTTTCACTCTTTCCTTTTTACCGTCTTTCTTTCTTTCTTTCTTTCTTTCTTTCTTTCTTTCTTTCTTTCTTTCTTTCTTTACAATCCCCCTCCTCCCTCCCTCTCTCTACGCTTCTCCCTATCAATATTCCTGTCTTATGCATCGGAAGATGATTCAACCACGCATCAATTTCAGACAAGGAGACATTGAAGCCACGCTATCTTTGGTCTCTTGCTCGTCGTAGTCGCAATGAAATCGGTCGAGAGTCCGGTGCTGTCACCCCAAACGACTCCAATTAAAGTTTGGTCCGGTCGCTGATGGCTCGATAATGCCTTCCGTCGTCAGCCTTCCAATCCTTTAGATTAAAACAGGAACGAAAAAGAAAGAAAACGTTGCTTCTTTTAATGTTATTCATGATCAGCTCCGATCACATTCAGACTATTACACAAGGCAGCAATATCAAAGCTGTAGGCAGCGTGGTCAATTTAAGTCGCTGGGAACTAAAGGCTTAACAGTTCGATGTCCACACAATGGCGAACAGTCTCTCTTTGTGGAAATTGACTGCAGAAATGCTTTGGAATATGAACAATATAAAATAAATACATAAATAATATTGCGTAATTTTCTCAGTTGAAAATATCCGAATGTATATGTGAATATATAGATTTAAATCAGTGTTTTTAACCTCTTCCCGGCCAATTATTTTGAAAAATAGTTTCATTTTCAGACGAATTTTTTTTATTAGTTTTTAATATATTAACTAAGAAACTGAGGTACCTTGAAGTACCCGAGTGGTGGCTAACAACTCTACCAGACGTATGATTTGACAATTTGTATGATTTTGACAATTTGTGTTGTTTCAGAAGGGCATAAAAAGAATCAAGATCAGCGTATAAACACGTCTGTAGCAGGTTTTTGAACATTAATTTTTGGACGTGTTTATTCGTCAGTGTCTGAAAAAGAGACTTTTGGTAAAAATGTATCTACACCTCTACGCCGGGGAAGGGTTTAAACATTTTGTTTCTTGGGTTCCTCCATATTTGTATGAGATAAAAAAAATATTCCGTCACATAATTGCATTAATATTCTTTCTACAGGGATATTGCGATGCATAAAGTGTAGGAAAAATACAAAAATCATTCGTGAAGCTTAATTTTGAAAAGGTGTTGATGGTTTTGCCTATCATCCGGTTCAGACTCCTCCCAAGTCTTTTGAACAAAAATAGAGACTTACCTCTCGTTTTCTGTTTAGGATTGTGTTTCCGATTCTTTCTAAAGACTTTTTTATTCTAATTTCACACCCAGTAGCCCCTTGCATCTTAGTGGCATGATTGCCTTGTTTGGGGTAAATAGATTACAAAAAAAGTTCAATGCTTTAATTAATAATGCACCACCAAGCTCACAGTACCTAGTATTCCCAAGCGGTCACCCATCTAGGTACTGACCAGGTTCAATGTTGCTTAACTTCAGATATCGTACCGGAACTTGTGTGGTCAACGTGATGCGACCGTAAGCCTAATATTAATTATAGGGTTCTCAATCATAATCATAATCATAAGCCTAGAATTAATTATAGGGTTCTCAATGATAATCATAATCATAAGCCTAGAATTAATTATAGGGTTCTCAATGATAATCATAATCATAAGCCTAGTGTTATTATAAGGTTCTCAATCATCCGGTGTTAATTATAGGCTTATAAAAAATCTGTTCTATAAGGCAGTGCATGCTGGGCAATTTCCTTACTGATAAAGAGAAGACTTGAGGAAACAGAAATGTGGTTCTACAGAAGGATGCTGAGAATTCCATGAACGTAGCGTGTGAACAACGAGGAAAATATAAATAAAGACCACTCCTTTAGAATCGGAAAGGGTCAACTGAAATTTCTGATTGCCTTAATGAAGGAGGAATACTCTGAAAATTTGACGTTCACATGGCATATCATAACGGAGATTCAATCTACTTTTTCTATAAATACTTTCATTGTCATTGTTCTAATGAAGTTTTTCCATGTTAACTAGAGTTTATGAATTTAAGTGCGGTACTAGATTGGCAGCTAGGTCTCATTATTTTACAGATTAAGTGGCTAGATGTAACCGTAAGTTCTATGCTAACAGTTCCTGCTATCACAATTCTCGCTTATGGAACTCTCTTCAAGCTTCTTGCTTCCTTGTCAACTTTGACCTTCAAAAATGTAAAAGCAATGTCTATCGTTATTTACTGTCTTGATTACTCTTCTATTGTTCTCTGTCCTTAATAACCTTTCTATTTTTTTCTTATTCTTTCACACTTAGTAAATCTCTGTGTCTTAGTGGCTTTACTGCCTTGCATGGGGTGAAATCAATGTCAGTCGTTATCTTCTGTCTTAATTATTGTTCTTTTATTATCTTGTCTTCTTAATAGTAGTTTTTCTCATATTTTCTAACACTCAGTAACCCCCCTTGCGTCTTAGTGATTTACTTGCCTTGCTTGGGGTGAAAACTCGGACAGTCGAATACAAATTCCATTTGGGTTTGTTACATTCACTTACGCGCACATACCATTGGGAGATCATGACGAGTGCCACCAACGCAGTAGGGTAACGCCCCTTTAATCCTGATGATCTGTGTAAGGCCAACATTTTATCAATTCACCCCAAACAAGGAGGTAATCCCACAGGTACGCAGGGAGTGAAAGTGAAAGAGAAGGCTGAAAATAGGTACGATTAAGGGAAGGAGAATAAAAATTAACAGGGTTCAAGAAGACAGAAGATGGCGATTAACATTGCATTTAAATGTTTGAAGATTGTAGCAATCAGGGAAGCAAAGAACTGGAAGGGAGTTTCACATGTGGGAAGTGCATGAAAAGAAACTGCTGGCGGAGAAGTGACGGTTACATCTAGCTATATTATTTTTGCTTTAGCGGAATATTTCTTTCTATTCTTAAATGCCCTTTTTTCTTTTACCTTTTTTAGCCAATGTTCTTAATATTTTGTATCTTTTCTCCCTCTTACATTCGTTCAACCAACTTCAAATATTTCCTTTTTCGTGAATCAAGAAAAGCAGATTGACCAACAAGAAAATATATGAAGGACCTGGAGTTACGAATGTAAACAAAGAGAAGAAAAAACATACCGAATATTAAGAACATTGCTTAAAAAGAATAAAAACAAACTATTACCTTTAAGTCACAGCCACAATGATAAAAAAAAAATTGTTGGGCCAAGAAATAGCGATTTACTAAACGTGGCACAAGGCCGGAATTATAGAGCATCCGTTAATGATCGAACACGACTAATCAGTTGAAATTCATCTCGCGAGACAATCTTGTTCAATATTACGTTTTTTTTTCCTTGGAAACAGGAAATTATGAATTTATATGTGCGTTGAAAACTCAGTAAATTTAAAAATAAGTTATTCCAATATTCGCTTAAAGATGAAACGGAACTAATGCTTTTAATTTAATTATATAATTATATTTGAAGTTTTTAGCTTCCATTTTTGAAACATGGTTATTACTGTATAGCGAAAATTTTTTTTAAATCAGTTAATTTATAACACACACACACACACACACACACACACACACACATATATATATATATATATATATATATATATATATATATATATATATATATATATATATATATATATAATGAAGTCCAGTCATGTGTATAAACGCCATCTATTGAAAAAATATTACTAATTTTGATCCAACCCAACAGATTTTGGAGACATACGATCCGCCTTTTTCTTTCGTTACTCTATACCCTTTACTTTCCAGTGGGCACGTGGCCGAGTGGTTAGAACGTTTGCCTTCTGACCATAAGACTCGGGTTCGAATCTCACCATAATCGATTTGTCAGGAAGGAGACATCCTAATGTTATTAGATTGGAGGGGTCGATCGTGCGGTACCTTTGGAAAGTGCCTGAAATCCATACCCAAATCTTGTAAGTGAAATTTGGTAGACAGTAGACATGTGTCTCCGTGCACCCAAGTCATCGTACTGGCCTTGTCCAAATTGTTGATCTTTCCCAGAAACTGTAACTAAAATCTGCTCAGCAGAGTTTCAGTATAAACCAGTATAAATGGGCTTTGTGGGTATTGATAAATACGCCTGAGCAAGCGCCTGCAATAGGGATTGCCAACCGCCCTATCCTCGAATACGAGTGAATAGATATACATACTTTCCCATACTAGTATCAGACGGCAGGAGACCATGTACTGACCCCCAAGAAACGGTCAGCCATGTTGCTTTCGCTTATCGACCCAACACAAACGTTCGGATAACAAAAGGAGGGGGTAAATATCCCATCTCAGCTTTGCGCTCGACTCGTGTTTCTGACCGTGAAAATTGCTCGGTTCTCCCGCTGCGCGACGTGTGCAGCTTTTCATTGTTCGAGATTCTTTTCTCTCTCCAGCATGCCATTCGATTCGCCATTGAAAAGAGCGCATAAAAATGGCCCTCGTGAAACGGACACGCCCAGTTCGAAAGGACACTTGATCTTACGCTCGAACCAAACACTTGCACCGTAATTCTTTTTTCTTTTCTTTTCTTTTTTTTTTGCGCGCGCGTGCTTTATTTCTTTTCAATTTTAGTTTTTCCTTTATCGAACTCAAATTTCGTTTGCAATTGCGAAGAATAAAAGTACGGTTTCAACAAAATCCCCTCACGGGGAAGACAATCTTTTCCTAATGGTTGGGCGGGGGGAGGATTAAAACAAACAAAAAGGCTCTGATAGCTCAGGATATCTTGAGGGCACCCAACTCCTCCCAAAATATCTCCTTAAACACAGTGAGCTCCCAATCGGACATTTAGGATTTTTGGAAAGTTTCCCAAATAACATGTGCGACATCTAGTCTGAAAGTAAACGGTCTTGGGATTTCAGATTTTTTTTTAATCAATTCACCCCAGGAAAGGCAATAATGCCACTAAGACACAAGGAAGCTCCTGGTAGTAAAAGAGAATGAAAAAACTTTAGAGAGAACCGGAAAGCCAATCCTAAATAGGAAACAAGGGATAAACCTCTACTCCTGTTCAAAAGACCGGGGAGGTGTGGGAACCTGGCGATAGGCAAGACTATCTATGTCCTAACGGAAATTATTTAACCTTTTTCGGCACATTTTCAAGTGATATATACGTATATTTGTTAAAACGAGATGACAGTGTTAATTTTATTTCTACATAATTTAGACGACAATTTATCAATCGCACACTGTAGATACAAAGTTGAGAGCTGATCTAGAGGAGTGGCCGTTCAGGACAACTTTCAATTCGTGATTTGATAAGAAAGACTGAATCAGTTCAAAGATTCGTCTAGAGATACCAAAACCTTTCAACTTGTGAAGAAAACCGGTATGTCAAACCCTGTCAAACTTATAAACGTAAAAGTTTTATTTTAATCTTCCTCTTGAGTACAAATAACATAAAAGGTGATGGTATATTTAGCCGTTTCTCTAGAAGGGAACGTTTGACATTCATTGATCGAACAGCAAGTGTGACTAGATTTACATTTACATCTTTACTCTTGGTCACTGGACTAAGATCAAAGTGTAGTATCTTCTCATCTGTAATGGTAATATTAGCCATTTCCCTACAAGGAAACATTTGGTATTCATTAACTAAACACCAGTGTGACTAGATTTACATTTACATATTTACTCCTTGGTCATTGGACTAAGATCAAAGTGTAGTATCTTCTCATCTGTAATGATAATATTAGCTGATTCCCTACAAGGAAACATTTGGCAGTCAATGACCGAACAGCTAGCTCGGTTGAAATTTATAAAATTTTTCTTTTAAAATATTTTTTCAGGAAAACAATTTTTTCAAGTTCAGCAGCTGTTATTGATGTCTCCAGTATTGATGAGGGTTTCCTTCCTAACGTTGTGTTTGAAATAGTGTGGAATGTCAACCTCTTGATTATGGCATTATTCTTTTAACGAGGTGTGTCCTGGGTATTACGATAAACTACATCCGGCAGCAAGGCCTCTGATCAAGAGATTGGAGGTTTTGAGGAACGTGTGATCACTTTTTAACTGCTATTGTTCCCAGGTCCACCCTGACCTGAAGTAGTAGCACCTGTTAGGGTCCCAGCTATGGGCAAATAGTGAACTCCCAAACAAAAATAAAAAAAAAATTAATAGTAAAATTATCAACATTATATTTTATGATCTACAAATTTTATATCTAAAAACTTACATTTACCCTAAGAGTATAAAAGTGTGTACAGGGTGGCCACTGAAAAAGTAAAGGGTTTGAAAAAGTCATAACTTGTTCGTTTTCAATCGTTTTTATTTTCTATTTTTTGCAGGTTATAGTGAATCCCTTGGTTAAAATTGCTACGTATGATACCCAGCAACTGGTAAACCTCATGGAGTTTTTCTATTCAAGTTAAAGATCAATTATTCAAATCAGGGAAAAATACCGACAACATTTTAATGTCATCAGTATCTCCTAGCGATAACATGATCCGGATCCGGAGCCTAATCGCCTGGTTTGAAAGAACTGGATCAGACGGCGATCTTCCGGGAAGTGATCCTAAAAATCTCGAGATGTAGAACAAAAAAACAGACCAGATATATCAACAGTATTCAATGCAGAGACGATTGGTAGATTTGTAAATGTGCAATATCGACTCTGACGAGAAAAAACTTTTGGCACGTCACAGTGACCCAAATTTCCTTGCAGTAGATGCAGCTATTTATTTAATGCAGTCACTCCACTTCAAATCAGTTAATATCGTGTGGCCAAGAAGGCGCAGTATGTTGCACACCTGGAGTTTAGTTGCAGCTATGCTGATGGTAGACAGAAACGTACTCTATGGTGATTAAATGAAAAAAAAATTTCAACTGATAACATAATTTTATTTGCCCATAGGGGCATTTTACTTAGTCTGATGAGTATCAAAATACAGTACATTGTGATATAAGAGACCCGGATATAAGAGAAACCCGGATATAAGAGAGATTTTCTCTGGTCCCAAATTAGAGCCATAATTACCTAAACAAAATAGACCAAACCCAGATATAAGAGAAACCCGGATATAAGAGACTTCTTCTCCGGTCCCGACAACTCTCTTATATCCGGGTTACACTGTACTACCAGTATTTAACTTAATACAGCTATACTATCTGTCTATATTTCTGAGGTGAGGTATTGTATTACACTATTTACATTGTTCGGTCTGTTGTCCTCATCTTCGTTGCCATATTCACATGTCCCAAGTGGTGGATAAAAACGTTGGTTGAAGGAATCCTGTGATTTGATCCAAAGAGTTGTGAGTTCAATACCTGGCTACAGAGGTAAACAAGAAAAAAAAAACTTGGAGAGTTAAGTTAAAGTGAAATAACTGAAACTGAGTTATCCGGAAGAGGCATGGCACGTGGAACTAGAACAATCTACCCCGGGTGGACGAAAAAAGGGTTCGGTTCGAAATTCCAGTCGGAGCGCACAACGGCCGAAACGTTGTGAATACGGCAAACAAAAATGAGATCTGAACATTGTAAATAGTGTAAATAATTACAGCTATTCTGTTCTGATCTCTTACGTAGTAACCTTTGCTCCATGACAAATCGCCTTTTCGTAACTTAAGTTTATCTTAGACTGGGAAAAGGTCACAAGAATAGGACAGCAAGTGTGAACTATTCTTTAACAATATGTCTTTTTTCGTAATTATGGCACAGATTACATGCCTAGAAGATCAGCGTTCGAAATCCTTGCATTTACCTGTCATTGGTGAGATGTAAACATGAATCATAGGGGCATTTCCCATTTGCTACGATTTTATCTTTATTTCCATTGTTATATTATGTTTTTACACATGACGCATTTTTTGGTTGGCTGTTGATTCGATCGTCTAACGAAGTAAACTTCTTAGTATATAAATGTTGACTTATTCCTGATTCCTTTTCATTCCAGTTCCTGGGTAAGACCTTAAAATACATCCGCGTCCTGGGTAAGACGTTAAACTACATCCGTGTCCTGGGTAAGACGTTAAACTACATCCGCGTCCTGGGTAAGACGTTAAACTACATCCGTGTCCTACATCCAGCAGCAAGGCCTCTGATCAGGAGGTTTTGAGGAGCATGGAACCACCTCTTAATTGCTGGTGTTCCCAGGTCCACCCTGACCCGTGCTGGTAGCACCTGTTAGGGTCCCAGCTATGGGCAAATAGTTAACTATTACCAGCAATACTTTTTTGAAAATAATATTACCAGCAATACAATTTTGAAGGGAAAATATTACTAGAAACAGATTTTTGACAAAAATTACCAGCAATAAAAAAAATTGTCGGCATTAAATAACCCATTGAGGTTGATATGCCGTAAAACAAAATAAACCAAACCAATCTAAACTAAAGAATACATATTCCATTCATACGAATCTATCCTAAAAATTTTGTTGGCATTAAATAACCCATTGAGGTTGATATACCTTAAAACAAAATAAACCTAACAAATCTAAACCAAAGAATACATATTTTATTCATACGAATCTATTCATAAAAATGTCGGCATTAAATAACCCATTTAGGTTGATATGCCGTAAAACAAAATAAACTAAACTAAACCAAATCTTTTTCCAGATAATTTCTCTTTCAATATATTGTTACTAATAAACCCAATGAAAATGTTTACAATGAAACAATATCGAGTATTCTTACTGTACGAGAACAGACTTGGAAAAAGAACCATTTTTGCATCGAATCATTAAATGCGATGAGAAAATGAATACTCTTTGACAAAAGTAAGAAAGTAGGCTAATGGTTAGATGCAAGTGAATCACCAAAGTCATACTCAAAAACTCCACCGAACCCTAAAATGTTAATGGTTACTTTATGGTGGTCTTTCAAAGGGGTTATTCATTCTTGCCTCAAGGGAAAACAATAAAAACAACCTCATATTGCAGAGAAATCGAGTGTATGCACGAAAAATTGAAAAAGAAACATTCTAGACTTGTGAATAGGGATGGCTCAGTTTTGCTACACGACAACGCCCGGATGCACGCTTCTCAATTAATTTTCAAAAAGCTGCATAGCCTGAATTATGAAAATTTGCCTCATCCTCCATATTGATATCTCTCCTAATGATTATCACTTATTTAAGCATTTTGAGCTTTCAATACGCTAATAAAGGAAAACATTCTCTAATTGGAATTGAAAATTTAATCGGAACATTTAAAACTGTTCATCATATCGAAAAGAATGAAGATTCATTTTTTTAAAGATGGAAACATTTCAAGTTTATCACATCAAAAATGAAATTTAGAGGTACATTGAGAAGAATTATTTATCAACATGGTGCCTATTTCAACTAAATAAATTGGTTATTTAACATTTCAGAAGCGTTTTATTCAATTCCTGTAAAATACGTCATTTCATGTGTGACAACCTAATATTTTGTAAAAAGCACCTTGTCTCAAAATTGCCATTTTTATACTAATGTTCACCCAATGCAAGGCTCAAGAGTCACTCAAGTTACATCATTACGGAATGAGGTGTGTTATAGGCACATAGGAGAAGGAAATAGGAAGTGGAGTTTATCAGGTTATGGTGGTTATATAACGATTGATTGACTGATTCGTTTTTTACGGTTGATCAACACTTTGTCGGTTATTTAAAGCCAGAAAGTATTTTTAGGTTATTTAACCCATAGCTAGGATGAGAAGAGGTGGATTCATATCTAATCAACTATCCAAAAGCTGCATAGTCTGAATTATGAAATTTTGCCTCATCCTCCATATTGACCTGACATCTCTCCTATTGATTATCACTTGGGATCAAGGTACGTTGGAGAACAATCATTCACCAATATGGTACCTATTTTCAACTAAATAAATTCGTTATTTAACATTTCAAAGGCGTTTTATTCATTTCCTGTAAAATGCGTCATTTCATTCGACAACCTAATACAAAAGCTGCCATATCCTTTTTAAATGTTCATAAAACTGTCGCCCATCCACAAAAATGGACGAAAAATACTGCATATGGATCAATGAGTTATTAAATGCATATAATAATTCCTGTGATGTAGATTTTCAAATGGAAAACATGAAGAAAAGAAAATTGTAATTTTTTGCGGAGATAATAAAAGAAATGGTTGCCAGCGACACCAGGGAGGAAAAAGAAAGGAAGAAAAATTCCAACGGAAGTAGGGGGGTGGAAGACGTTTTGGAAGAGAAATGATCGGTGTTTCGGCGGGAAAAAATCACGCATGCGCACAGAGGACAGCATGACGGATGATTAGTACTACTCGTTGGCAATGAATATGGAGAAAAGGAAAAAGACAAGAATAACATCAATATGAAAACGACTACTACTACTATTATTAAAACAGTAATGACAATAATGAAACGAAAATAGATAACGGCTAAACAAAAATAATAAATACCGCCTCTACAGAGAAAAAGACGAAATGGTAAATGGCGTTAGTTAGTCTAAAATGGAACTTAAAAGCAAAAAGGACAGGAACAGTAATACACTGAACGGTGCTCCAAACTGTTCAACTGTCGAACTCTCTGTCTTTGACAGAGAGGAACAAAGACGAGTGATTCAAAGAGTTGTGAGTTCAATACCTGGCCACAGGTAAAAAAAAACAAAAAACAACAACAACGGAGAGTTGAGTTCCTAAATGGAATTAACTGAAACTTATGTATTCAGAAAAGGCATAGCACATGGAACTAGAAATAAAGGATTCAGTTCGAAATTCCAACGTATATCACCTGAAGAAGACCATTAGTATACAACGTTCGAAACGTCGTGAACATGAAAAAAGTAAAAAAAACCTGAAAACCACAAATCAAGAGGCGCCTCATCGTGGGGTAATGATTAAAGAGGCTCGTCGGGTTAACTTTGTTTTGTTTGTTTCTTTTTTTTTTCAGCCCAAGCAAGGTGAAAGTGCCACTACCCCCTCCACCCCAAGGGGTTATAGAGAGTGAGAGCAAAGAGTGGTGGTTGAGGAAAGGATATAGAAAAGGGCGGGGATCAGGATCAAAACATCAGATAATGGCGATTGACATTACACTTGAATATTTGGAGATTATAGCTATCAAGGAAGCAAGTAAGAGGAAGGGAGTTCCACTGTCGGGAAGTGCGAGATAAGAAACTGTTGGAGTAGAAGAGGCGGTTACATTTAACTGTTTCGACAGTGAAACTGTGGGACCGAGATGCCAACCTAGTATTACGCTTAAATTCATTCAGTTCGGGGACCAGTGAATGTAGATCCTCAGAGCAGTTGCCATGAAAACATTTGTAGAAAAGACATACAAAATTCGAGATTACGTAACGAAACAAGATTTAACGCGTCGTAAAATTCAGGAATCCACCAAACCACACGAAGAGTAAATATAGAAGGATCAGCGTCGGGAGAGAGTAATATATATATATATATATATATATATATATATATATATATATATATACCAACTTAAAGAGCCAGACAAACCTCCCTAGGTTTCATCTACGCGTATCATCAGGGCAGACATGTGACCCCCCACCCAAAAAAACAAGTTTTTTTGGGGGGCCACATGGTTATGTTTTTGTGTTGTAGGTTTATATTTCCTGTTCTGATTGAACCTCTTTAACCAGTCTGCCCTGACGATTCGCGTAGGTGAAACCTAGGCATGTTTGTTTGGCTCTTTAGGTTTACTACGTATTGAGCACTTTGTTTAGTTATTTTATTTACTCGTATCGGAGGTTTTTTTCTTTGGACTCTGAACTTAGATTCTAGACGATTATTTTCGACTGAGGTGCATGTTCTTAGTTCTTTCTTTTTTTAACTCTTTTTTTCCCTTGGGTATTGGTTTGTTGGTTTACAAGCAAAAACACCTAAGGTTTTGCCGGACGAGTACTACTATTTATATTGATAAGATTATTAGTGGTATAAATATATATGTCTCGATTTAGTGATACGAGTTTACTAATTAACCCATAGCTAGGGGGAATAAGATGCGCAGTCTTTCATTTCCCGAAGGTATTTGCACGTAAGTGAATATAATGAACCCAACCGGAATTAGAACTCGGCTATCCGATGAGCAATTCCGAGCTATTATCTATTACACAACCGCACATCCAAGCTTACAGCACCTGTTAGCCCCAAGCAGTCACCCATCTAGGTACTGACCTGGCTCGATATTGCTTAATATGATCGTACGGGTACCGGTGTTTCAACGTGATGTAAGTCGTTTAAAGTGGGCTTCACAGTAATATAGTGGAGAAATTGTTCAAACCACCTCGGTACTTCCTCCGTTTTCGGGACACCTCAAGCCCCCGGTGAGGACCCAGCTCCTTTCCGAAGGTGAGGTGCTGCCTGGGGCTTGAGCTTAATATTTTTTCGAAACTTTGCCGGCGGAAAGTGCCAGATAAGTACAACATCAGAAAATAATAATGAGAATCTCATATATCAATAATATGATATCACATATCAATAATAATGTCACATATCAATAATAATAGAATCTCACATATCAACATGTATACAAACATGGCAGGTTTTGTCCAGGACTTAATTTAAAGAAAAAACAAAAAAAACAACAAAAAAAAAAACAACAAAAATCAAAAATCAAAACAATACAAAAACAAAAACAACGTAACTGTTTCAATTATTTATAAATATTGAAAATTCTGAGGTCATTTTTAATCCTAAATTGTGGATAATCCACAGAAAAAGGATGAAAGAGAATGGATTACAAATAGTATTGAAGAATAAGCTGTTTATTGAGAATACTTGTTGTCACTTGATTCGCAATAAAAGGCCCGAGACACTAACGGAAAGGGGGGCGGGGAAGAAAACACAATGTGTACGTAATATTGAAACATTAGCAGCCTTAATGTTGCCATGGATACCGGAACTTCTATGTTTATCAGTTTGTCGCTTTTGTTTGCATACATTGAGGTATGTTTGCTCATGTATATGAACGAAAGAGAAGGAGGGAGGGAGAGAAAAGGGAGGGAGGGAGAGAAAAGGGAGCGAGGGAGAGAAATAGAGAAGGAGGGAGGGAGGGAGAGAAAGGAAAGGAATGGAGGGGAAAGGAGAGGGGGAAAGAGAGAGAGAGAGAGAGAGAGAGAGAGAGAGCGAAATAAAGCGACATCTTTCACACCTTTCAAAATATTACCTATATACAAGCGTACACAACATATGCAGGGTGTCTTAAAAATGTACAGACATTTTGAAGCTTTCTCGAGGACTAATTCAAGCAACTACAACCGACTATATTTAATTTAAATAAAACATATGAAAGTGCTATTTATTATAAATGAATGCTCTTAAGACATTGTTATTGCATATCTTCAAATTGATGTCCGTTATGACTCAGACATTGCTGAGATTACGACTCAGTGCAATCATAAGCAACAATCACCGCTTCGGTAGGTATTTCGCTGCAGTGTTGCTCTTTGGAAACAGCCATTGCTGGCTTTTGTGGTGTAGAAATTATCTTTTAAGTAACCCCACGAGAAAAAGTCTAAAGGGGTCAGGACCGGTGAACGAGAAACACTGTAAAAGTATGTATACATTTTTCACACACACACACACACACACACACACACACACACACACACACACACACATATATATATATATATATATATTATAAATTAACTAATTTAAAAATATGGTTACTTCGCTACACAGGAATTACCATGTTTCAAAATCCGAAGGTAAAAACTTCAAATTTAATTATATAATTAAATTAAAAGCATTAGTTCTGTTTCATCTTTAAGCGAATTTTAGATTCCAAAATGTGATTAATGGTGAAAAAACTTCGGTAACAAGACTTAATGAGGCATTAACTTACTATCAATTTATTGAATAATACAATCCTTATATTTGAGTTGTTGTCAGATGGAATTGACGCGCCAAGTACTTTCGACAATTTCAAATTGTCATCTTCGGGGCGCAGTTTTATATATATATATATATATATATATATATATATATATATATATATATGAACTTTATTTCAATCCTTCATGATCTTCCGATCCTTAGCTATGATCAATTAATGATGAACATGACATTTTCATTTATGATCGATTTCATCACTATTCTTTTGTTAAGCTTAGAGAGTAATGTAATTATACTTTCTTATTTGTCAAAGTAGAGTCCACACTCAGAGTATTCCAGTAAGATATCTTTAATCATTTTTAAGATACAACGGTTCAAATCTTAATCTATCAATTGGAAAATTTTACTGTTACACGATTTGGACAATTTTGCTGTTACGCCCGGTATATATATTTCGTTAAGGATGACTGACAAGATAATGCAATTAAGCTTTTTATTTAATCTTTCTTGTATTCACACAAGTGTTTTCTTTTCTGGACACAGTGTGTAGAAACTGTCCAAATGTTCTGTAATTCGGAGCACTTTTGGCTATACTTTTAGCCATTATCAAGGATGATTTTATTTTTACTTTTAACTGAAGGTGTGGGTTGTGTTATGTATGTATCTAGAATTATAGAAATGTTTTATTTTCCAAACACGGTC